TCATTAACCAACACTTGCTGTTCCCCTCTGCAGGAGCAGATAAACCATGGGGCTTAGGGTACAAATCGGAAAATTAAGGCAGTACCAGGTTGCCAGTTCGAAACAGTTAGACACCATTCCAAAATGTGTTGCACTGTCAAATGGAAAATAAAGGACACCACAGATGCTTCTAATAATTCCAGTTTCAAGTCAATTTTCCCTCCTTTGTCTTAAAGAGCTTTTGATGTGTATTCTCAATATTGTCTCTCTCTCTCTGTTTTTAATAATTTTATATTACCTCAGCAATATAACTGTCCTGAAATATACTGAACTCTAATCTCTGAGAGATCAAACAGGAAGAAATATGATGGGCTAGAGAGTGACTGACTTGGGGGCAATATTCTCTCCTCCTATAAAAGACAGCCCACAGCAAGATAAAAATTGCTTCTCAGATTCCATGAACATCACATCTTTAAGAGAGACTTTCAGGCCCACGGAGAGAGCAGACTTGGGGCCACAAAAAAACATCGCCATTGAAGATGCAGCCAAAAGAAAGCATGCTCTCACAGAACTCGAGGATGTGGTTTGGGTGACTACATTCTTTAAGATTGGTCCCAGTACCCTCAGACCTCCTCGGTTTAGCCATGCTCTGCAAGTCTAACAGTTGAGAATCGTTTGGCTACTGCCTTTTCACTGGAATAAATGTGCTGGCTCTGTCTCAAGCAAAAGAAGTATTTGGGACAAAGGTGCAAGTTTGCATACCATGAAGACGTTGCGATATCTGGGGAGGGGAATTTAGGAATCAGTACACAGATCTTATGGACACAAAGGAGGTGCTCTTTCAAAACGCAACCAGTGCTTCCTCTCCAAAAGACGTTTGTTCTCCATCAGCTTAACCCAGTTTCCTCGTTTTTCCACTGAGGTTCTGCAGCAGAACCAGAGGTAGTGAAATTCAGCTTAGCATGGCTGCTCATTCCATTCCCTGACCACAGAATAATGATGAATTCATATTCTAAAGAAATACTGGCTAAAATATTGTAATATACAGTAAAGATGCTGTAATTTTTTCTGGGAAATAAAAAACTGACCTTTTTTGGTTTATTGTAATACTTTGGAACAAAAGTCAGTTTTTGAACAAAATTGCTCTTTTGAACAAATGTGTTCACGTCTCTTTTGGCTGGCTTAGGAACCTGCTTTATAACAAACTCTGTGCGTCCATCAGAACAGTTTGTGAACTTGTGCTGCAAGATCGAATTTCTCATAGGAACAAATTGAAGGTAGAGGGTTTCATCAAGTCCATTAAAACTCCTGAGGGCTCTCCAGAAGGTAGAAAGCCCGATTCAGACACCACTAAAATCAATGCAAATCCTGTGTTTTATGTCAAGCCGTAAGGAACAATGAGAAGAATATTTTTTACTAAACTGGCCTTCCTATGAGATGACCATCTTTGCCGCATGTAGACAGCCCTCTCTCCCTGCTTGCAGCTTTATCGTGTTCATGAATTTCTAAATAATACATAATTTATAAGCAGTTATTGTATCTTATGCTCGCATGGGGAGGGTGGATGATAAAGTTATAGCTACCTTAGTGCTTTGGTGTACCTAACACCTAGTGTGATACCGTGTGCAAGGACGGAGGGTGGCTTAGCCCATCACCCTTTTCCTACCAGGACTCCCCAGTGCCCCCTAAAAGGCAGTGCTGGCTACGTAGCTCCTCTCTTTAGCCTGAGCTGCACCTAGCCTACCTTGGCCAAGCTAGGCCTAATGGTATGAAGCAGCAAAAAGTAGGTATCCTTTGGTCAAATGACTCCACTTTGTGAGGAGGCAAAGACAATGCTCAGACATACTGAAAAGAGTGAATCCTGCCAACGAGCCAAATACATTCTGATAAATACAATAACCAGAGCTGATACATGTTGAAGGAACTCATTTCACAGAATTGGGTCCATAGGGAACAGCATGTGTTTGTACTTGGGATAATTTTTGTATCGCCTGCCTTACCGTCAGGAGTGTTTTGAGTTAGGCGGACATTTTAAAGTTCTCCTGGTGAATGTAGGTTACAGAACAGTATTGGAACAACAAGCAAATGTAATAGAGTATTTCCAAGCCTGCAACCTTCTTGGATATCCTTATTCATGCAAAGCAAATAGTAGATTCCTTTCTGACAATTTCTCATGCTCTGGATAAACATACGCTGGTATTTCTGAGTTTTCCAGCCCAAATTTCTGCACAAGTAGTTCTCTGCTTTACCTTCTGCTTTCAATCCAGAGAATGCAGAAACCCACTATAATCACTCCTCTGTGGGAACAAAGGATACAAATCTCCATTTCAGTCTCTGCATTTTGGTCTTTAAATCAGCAAATATTTATTCTCTTTTACAGAAATATAAGCTAACCTGGAGGGGATGAGATTCTCCAGATTGAAGGCTTACTAAATAGTGTTTATTCAGAGTTTTATTTCCAAACCTTTAGAGCTTTTCAATCCATTACTGCATTTCCAACAGTCTTGGCTGTCCCATCTCTTTGACAGAAGAAGGGATGATGATTCTAGCTTGTAGCATCAGGAATCTGGAAAATTCCCTCTTCCTTCGTTTGCCATGAAAACAGCTTTCATCTGTATGCCTGCATTCCCACCTGAAGAGTAATTCCTTAATTTCTGGCAACATTTATTTTCTACATTATCTAATTGGTTTTTAGAAGATTTTTTTCCTCTGATATCTCCTTGATAAATTCCTGCCTCTCTGTGTTAGCATTCATTCCCTATGCATCGGTTGTGAGCCAGACTATGATTTCAGCCTCACAGTTCACAAACTTCACCCGCTGAGAGAGGGAGAGAAGGGCGGGAAGAGGTCTTTGCAAGAGTTTTCAGGTGTTCAGTGCTGGTTTACATCTGTGAGTCTAAAAATATTTTAACCTTAAGGACCCAGCTTACTTGGAAATAAAGGAAAAATCCTAAATTGAGCTGTGAGTGGGCTTGCACTGTAGCTCCTGTTTTTTTAATGTAAAACCACAAAGTGTGTGAGGGACTATTTTATGACTCCCATTGCTGCTCCATTAAGTATTAGGTTACTGCTTTCCTATCAGGGTGATTAAAGCTAAGTATGCAAATTCACAGCTAAGCTTACCTGTGTAAGACGGCAGTCCCACGGGAGCTAAGTGTGTATAGTACTGATGTGAGCGTGGTTTGACTCAAGTGTGGCTCATGCTTGTCTTTACAGAATTGAACTGAATTATGGCATTATGCCTAATATGTTCAGATTTGACCTAATGGGACATGTATCTCTTGTCATGGCAGAGACCATCTGTCCAGACGTCTCGTGAGCTGGTTCCACAGTTGTCTTTTCCAGCCTGTGTAGATGAAGAGAGCCTCCTGAAGATACTTCCATTTTCCTCCCACATTCACTCAGTGAAGGCTGTTGCTTGACAGTGATGAGCAAATACTTTGATATCATCGATCATGATATCTCAATATCTTCTTGAGCCATGTTTTTGCACAAATATCTGTGTGTCAACTATGATGCAAAGATACTTATTTCTCCATTGACTTCATTTACAGCACGTTCTTCACTGAAGATTTTGCAGTAACAGAACAATCTAAGGACCACAGACTCGTTTGGCTGCATATAGTTTCTTTCTTCTTACACACATGTTTCTGAAACCATATACTTATGAAGTGGCAGACTGTCTTTAAACTGGCACTGTTGAAATTTCAAGCCCTTAATGGTACAGGCTAAGAAATCCCACGGGAAAAACGGGTGAAAAAAAAGGCTTCTTCCTTCTCAGTGCGTTTGATGTTTAAGATGCAAAAGAATTTTTTGCACTGACGCAACCACTCAAGAAAGTATGCAGGAGTAGATGAGAGAAAAGATGGATCAAGAATGACAATACAGTTACTGTCTGTTGAACAAGATGCCAAGCGAGCACTGCAAAGCTGTGAATGTACATAAGTGAGACAGAGCAATTCCCTAGCCTCTGGTTATGTTAATAGCTATGGCTCAGAGAAAAACATCTCATCCATTCCTGTAAAACACCTCTGTTCTAAAGAAATTTTTTTGCATTTGAGTCTGATAACCCGACAGAGATATAGAAGTTAACAAGATGTAATTATTGTCTGAATCTTCAGTCAAAACTAAATTTTAGCTAACACGTAACATATTTTCATTACTGATCCAGACGTAAATTCAATCCACATGGAAGCTGACATCTCAGATTCATAAAGTATCTCAGAAGTCACAAAAGTCCTTACTATATAATTACTGATTGTTCTTAAGCTACAAGTACGTTTTCACACCTGTGCAATGGAGAGGAAGCTTGACAGCTCCAGATGCAGCTGCAATACGATGTACCATGAAAGCTCATACGATGCAGCGGGACATAAAACTTACGCGAGGGGCTGAAAGGGCGATGCTGGCCCTCGGTACGGAGCTAAACGGCACCGATGAGATCAGCAAAGACTGCATCATTCTCACAGGGTAGTTATGCCGTCCCGCTTCTTTTGTGTGCTCTGCAAATATTTGCATGGTTAAATATTCATTTAAGCCTCTGTATGTCACCCCTAAGTAATCTGTCTGCAAATATTATTTGCCACACTCTCATGTCCCATCCAAGTGAGCATTTCAGCAGACTCCCTACCTGAGCTGAGTGAGCAGATTTTAGCTCTCTGTTAAATACGAAACTTTTCAAGTATCTTACACCAAGATGGAGGAAATACTAATATGTTTACATTAAAACAATGTTTTAATAAACAGCAGCATAAAATAATCAGTGTTTAATATCATCTCTGGCATGTGAAATACAAAAATGCACATATCTTAATTATAAAATAGCCTTTGTTATTACATTTTCATGCTTGCCTAATTGAAATGCCCATAATTAATAACTCAATCATCAAGTAATACAGTGATTAAACGCATGCAGTGAAAACAAAGAAAAATATTTGTATAAGGTAGTGGCTGAATATCACCATAATATATTTCAAGAACATCTACATCAGGTTAAAAATGAAAAGAAACAGACCAAGATATAAAATGCAGAGATGTATTTTCACTTCTGCTGTACAAAACATTATCACACTTTTGTGCAAAAAGATAAAAATAAAGTCATATTATACAACATTGTCAACTGAGCAAAAGATTGTGTTCGTTCTGTGTACAATAAAAATACGATTCAGTACAAAAAAGAGTCTGTGAAAAACTGTAATGTACACAGCACTTTTGTAACTCATTAAAGTGGTTTCAAATGAATAATCTAGATTGCTCATACCTGAATGAATTTTTAGTAATTACACAAATGTCATATTTCTAAGTTGAAAGTTAACACTAATTCACATTATTAGACTTGATAGACAAAATTGCTATCAATGGATTTGCTGCCTGATGGAATGTGAGTTTCCCTTTTTTCAGGGTTACTGGAGCCATAGTCACTGAAATTACACATTGAGCTGAAACAATAAATATTCCTGGGAAAACTGATTGTCATATATAAAATTGTAGTTTGGAGCCTTTCCATTAAACAGTTGCATAGCAACAAAAGGATATAAAATTTCTGCTTTAACTACTAGATTATGAAATGTTATCTTTGAATAAGTTGATTCAGGTTCTGAAATTAAAATACTTTAATTTCACTTCCTTTAAGGCAATTTCTTAGAACTCCAGCCATCGTTAGCAGCCAATAGCAGATGATTTTTGTAGACTGCAAGTTGATAACTCAAGCTATTGTGCTGTCATATAAATGACTTTTTTTGGTCTGAATCTGAACTCAGACTCCCAACTTAACAAAAGACCAAAATCCTACCTGAAGTAATTTATCCAGCTCTCAGATCACATATTTGAAACATAATCCTTGACTGCAAAATTTACAAATATTTTACTAGCAATTGGACCTGAAATTGCACACCCAGTAGATCTCTGAATATTTGCATCTCCTAAAAAAGAGACAAATATTAAAATATGTTTTCAGTATAAAAAAGTTTCTGTGATTTAAACCACATCAGAGGTTTAAAAAGCTGTGAAAATGCATATGATAAAATGGTTTTATTAAAAAAAAAAAAAAATCCCCCTTCCCCTTTTTGAATTGTCGGTGGCACTTAAAGAAACAATGCGTCCATTGACAAAGCTGAATATTCATACCACAATGATCTTTGTCTGGTTGAGTCTGCCCATCCTGTTAAGCAGTTAAACTTCACAGAAGATACTTGCTGCAATGTCTGTTAAACAACCAGAAGAATCTTTAATAAAATATTTGAATATAAATCTTTTCTACGACTTTCTAGTTTGTATTGTAAATAGTTATATGTACAAAGGCCTCGCTTATTTACAATTCAGCTGAAATCATAGATTCATTAGGTCCATGGATGCTGGAGTCTCCTAATAGGGAAGACTGCTTTGAGTCAATTTTGTACGGTTTTTGAGTTTTATTTCCGAAAACTGTAATACCGATTCCCCCCGGATGACTAGGAATTGACATATGGGATAGCAAAGGAATATTTGCTTCCTGGTTGGATCCCGAAGACGGCAAACTAGTGACGTGACCTGTGCTAGTCGATCCACTGGCGCTGCTCGGAGAACGACTCTTTGGAGGAGGACAGTGCTGGATTACCCTGGGTGGACCTTGCGGTTGGTAGTGGGCAGCTGGGAAAGCAGCATATCCTGGTGGGATCGGGTACCCGTTGATCGGGATATATCGCTGGTTTTGAGGTATTGGTGGTCCGATGAACCCGGCAATTTGGCCTTGTGGTATACCTTGTGCTGGAAACATGTAGTTAGGGTACCTAGGATTACTGAGATTACTAACGGGACTTGCACTGAGGGAAGTCGTTTGAGTGGTGGCATTCCCACCGGAGGGGGTAGTAGAACTAGTGTGACTTGAAAGACCCTCCCACGAGCGCAGCCTGGCATGGATTTCTTTAAATCGTGGCCTCCGGGATGGCAGATCATGCCAGCACTCTGTCATCAGGCTATACATTCTGGGAGGACAGTCTTCAGAGCACGGCAGCAGTTGTCTTTTCCTGATCATCTCTATGACTTCTTGATTACTAAATCCATAATATGGTTGAAGTCCAAAGCTGAATATTTCCCATAAAACAACTCCGAATGACCAAATATCTGAATCGGAATCTGAAACGGAAGAGAACTTGCCGTACATAATTGCTTCCGGTGGCATCCAGCGAATTGGCAAGAGAGACTTGTTTTGAACTCTGTAATAATCTGCTGAGTAGATTTCTCTTGAGAGTCCAAGGTCTGAAATTTTCACATGAAGTTGTTCTCCAATTAAAATGTTACGAGCGGCGAGATCTTTATGGACAAAAAAATGACTTGATAAGTACTCCATCCCTGCTGCAATCTGGACTGCAATATGTAGGAAATCTCCATGGTCCAGGCTGGATTTTACAGTCCCATCCTCATCGCTGCTGCATCCAACATCTGAATGTGGCGATCGCATGATGAGGAACTCATGGAGGTCTCCTTGGTTCATGTACTCGAAAAGCATGCAGACAGGTTGTTCCTGGGTCACAACACCTAAGAGGCAAACGATGTTAGGGTGATGGAGCTCGGCCATAAGTGATGCTTCTTGCTGGAACTCTGCCCACTGCTGGGGGTTGTTAAAGTCTTTTAGTGTCTTGATAGCAACAAGCTGAGCATGGTCCATGCCTGGAAGGTAGAGATGTCCCTTGTAGATCTTGCCGAAAGCACATTCACCCAGTTCTTCCATGAAACGAACAGCAGACAGAGGCAACTCCTTAGCCTTACTCTGTTAAAGAAACAACAGCAAAACCATGTCAGAAAAATAGGTCCAAAAACATAATTTTAAGAAAAAGATCTTTTTGCACAGGAAGTCTGAAAGCCAAGCAGACCGACTCGAGAACTCCCACACATTTGGGCTGCACACCCATTTGGCAAAATGATCCTTCTCAGCCCTGCGAGACGCGGGCACTGGTGTGATGGCGCCAGCCCCAGGCCAGATACAGCCTGAGGGACACCAGTATCCCAACATCGGCAAAGCTCAGGGCTGAGTGCCGCCTAATCTCTGTGCACCCTGCTCCAAAACTAAATTTAGAATTACTTTTTACCCTCTACACAAGATCAGATAAAAGTAGTGAGTATTAGATCTAAATATATGCATTTCAGCAAAGGCATTTATATACTTGGGCTCGGGCATTTATACACTTAAAATTGAATCTGACTGATTTCAGGAATCGAGGCAATTCACATACTTCAAGTAAGTACATGCTGAAGTGTTTTCTGGGCCAGGGCCTAAAGTTTTAGCAGAAAACTTTTTTTTAAAAACTACGTCCTTATAGCCGATTCTTCCTTGACTTTGCTATTAACCCTTCAATGTACAGTAGAGACTATTTCTGTTCACACTGGACTGAGTGTTCAATCCTGAAACATGCAGGACAGAGTCAGCTGGAAAAGTGAGATAGTGGTCAAAGAAGAAAGGCAAAATTTTTTAAAACTCTGTTTTTATTCTGGGTACATATATTCACTCTGAGGCCATAAAGAAGTTGTATTATTTTCAGACTTCCACACGTGGTTGTAACACCTACACCCAAACCCACTCATTTAGGGTCCTCAGTATAGCCATAGATAGTAATTTAAGGCTAATAAGTTTGGGACCTATGTTTTGTAAATTAGTGTAAACATTAGCATTTGCATTCCTGAAATAATATAATGGCAGCTTTACAGTGGCAATATAGGAAAAGAACTGACAGTTTAAAAAATCATTAAAAAATTACATTTTAGAATAAATGAATTCTAATCGTATTGACCACTTACAACTTTTAGACAAATACTGCATTAATAATAATAATAATAATAAT